TCAGACAACCTTAGCCTTCAAATGTGGCTTATGACCAAAATGTTTTACCTCAGTGTTCATCACCCTTAAAGGTCGTGATCTTTTGCACTTTGACATACTCTGCAGCTTCTTCTTTATTTCATTTCTGCTTTGAACGCTTTGATGGAGGAGTTTCTGAAGATGTGCTTGCTGCTTTTTTTTTAGAATCCTTATCATCAGGATCATAAAGAGCACTCCTGACGAAGCGTGCGGCAGCTCCCTTATCCAGACGGGCAGCTTTTTTCTTCTCTGTGATCTCTTTCACTTTGTTCATATATGTCCTTATTCGCTCCTGAAACAACAGGATGGTTACTGAGGAATTAGACAACACATATGAATCCATGTGAGCAAATAATAAGTCAGAGATAGATGGCACATACCAATTCCTGTTTGATTCCATGTTCTCTGGGATTTATCCCTTGTGTTACCAAGTACACTGAGTAAGATAAAAATAAAGCCACATGTCCACACTTTACACACAAAATGACATCCATGTATGGAAAAGTTGAATGTATTTGTCTCTTCAGTATGCTTTTGCTAAATTTATTTCATCTATATTCAACAAGATATAAATATTAGACAAAATAGGGAGAAAACTCACTCCAGAATAATGAATTAAGGGTGTAGGCAGACATCAGATCCAGCTTGGCTTGATCCAGAGGATCCAACTGTTAATGAACCAAATTTTATTTTAATTATAGCCTCCTGCAGATGACAGATTAGTATCACTTTTTTCATTAAATGTATTTGTAACATATTCAATGCACCGTATTGTTTCACTGAATAAAATTTTGCTCTATAAAAGAAAATAAATATAAACACACTAGCCACTTTATTAGGTACATCTTCCTAGCATTGGGTTTTGACATCCTTTGCCCTCAGAAGTGCCTTAATTCTTCAGAGCATAGATTTAACAGGGAGGTGGAAACATTGCTCAGAGTTCTGGTCCATATTGATATGATAGCATCACACAGCTGGTACCGCTATGTCAGCTGTACATCCATGATGTGAATCTCCTGTTCCACCACATCCCAAAGACAATCTGTTTCACTGAGATCTGGTGACGATGGAGGTCACCTGAGTACAGTGAACTAATAGTCATGGCAAGAAACCAGTTTGAGATGATTTAAGGACATGGCGTGTTACACTGATGGAAGCAGCTAACAGATTATGCATACACCGAGGTCATAAAGGAAAAGACATGGTCAGCAACAATACTTAGGTAGGCCGGCACTTCTGTTGTTGTCACCCATCAGCTGCCATGTTCAATGTGTTGTGTGTTCAGAGATACTCTTCTGCATACCCTTACTGTTGCCTTCTTATGAGCCTGTGGCAGTCTGGCCATTCTCCTCTAACGTCTGGTATCAACATGACATTTTCACCCAGAGAACAGACACTCACTGGATATTTTCTCTTTTTTAGACCATTGTATGTAAACCGTAGAAATGATTGTGATGGAAAATCCCAGAAGATCCGCAATTTTCTGAGATACTAAGACCATGTTTCATCCCCATCTCAGTTGTTTTTCTTGACCATGTTCACATTCCTAAATTGATTGAGCTATTGGCACATTAAATAATCTGTCACCAAGTAGCTGACCATGTGTTTCTAACAAAGTGGCCGGTGAGTGCACGAGTGTATACAGATAGTAGGTACGCACAAGCACAAATCTAAGCCAACAAAAAGACCACAGTACCCGATGTGTATAATAGTATTAGGCCTACCTTTTGCAGCAGGTCATTTCTGGGCATCGACATCAACTGCTCCAAGATGGTTTTAACTGAAGTCACTGACGAGTCGAAGCACGTGAGCTGTTCATCTATCTCGTGAGGGTAGTCCTCTGCGGCCATATTTCTGTAAAATAATTGAATAATTACAACGTCGTATAACTTTCCTATAGGACTATTTTTCATTAGAAGAACAGAAAAACAATAGCAATATGTCCAGGCAGAGAGCTAGCATACAATGCTAACAGGAAACCAAACTAACGTTTAGATAAGCTGAGGAAAGTGACAAAAGGGATAGACGTAAGTTACTAATTACTGATGTAATAGCAAAACGGGATCACTGTAAATTAAATCTAACAAAACAAAACAAAACAAAATCACATATTTACCCTGTTAGCAGACAACACGCTTTAGTCGACAGGAAATGACGTTAAAACTGTGACCTAGTCGTTTTCGTTTTCCTCTGCGCTCCTCTACCGCCGTCTGCCGTTTGGATGAGTGGAACAGCTAGTTATCGTTAGCTAAATAGTTTTATTTTTTTTCAGCGTGATAACAATTTTATTTGCAGTTTTCTATATTTTGTTTAATAACAATATCCGCTTTTGTATAACCGCGTGTATTCTCTAAATCGACGCTATATTCCTTATTATTGACCTTTGACACATTTTTTAAGCAAGGGTCTAAACGAAAAACTTCTTTAATTATCGGCTGTTGTTTTCATTCCTATTAAACGCCCAAATGTATTTAAAATACTCATATGTAGTAGTAACTTAATATCTAAATACAACAGAAGCGGTCATGTTACTGTGGTAACGTGGGGCGTCAGTGTGGTAAATAAAACTGAGCGCGCTGCGATGGGACCGCAGTTTAAGTGCTGTGTTTAGGGTCTGTTGTAGCTCAACCCAAGCAAGCTATAAAGAAGACGCCCGAGTCATCATGGACAACTGTGATTTAGAGAAGCTCTGTGTTTCTGCTGGGAAGCTCCGTCCATCGTTCACACCTGAAGTCACAGACTACAAAGTGACTGTGGAGAGCAGCGTCAACGAAGTGACACTGGACGTGATGACAAGCGACTGTGGGGCTTCATATAGTATTGTGAGCACGCTTTATGCCTTCTATTTCTCAATTCAAGTCTCTTTCGCATCTAATTTAGCCTTGTGATTTCTATTTCAGCTCTATGGTGAAAGGTCTAACACGATTACACTGAAAGATGGGTTGAACAGAGCAGGAATCGAGGTGGTAGCTGAGGATGGCACCATAAAGAAATACAGTGTGGAAATCACCAAACTATCAGCAAAGATCGCAGAGCTCAGTAACCTGGCTTTGGAAGGAGATAGTTCACTTCACCCCGCGTTTTGCACCAAAGTTTTTGAATACAATAGTGAGTACAGCCTATCTGTGCTAAACAAGAAGTTGTATATGAAATGTTTAATTCTTTGTTTTGTTTTCTATTTCAATTGATACACAAAAGCAGCCGCAGCAGTACACATGTATGTAAATGTATGTATAAATATGCTACTTTGTAAGTGAATATTATTTAAAAATGCAGAGACATAAAAGGTTTGCAGTATTTCTCAGTTTACAAAATAAATTGTTATGTGCTTTTCTGGGGTTTTTTGCCTCCAGGTACTGTTCCCTTTTGTTGTAATTCGGTGACACTCCTTCCTGAGGTGCCTGACAGAGGCATTAAAGTTACAGTAAATGGGGTGAGCAGCTCTGAACCAATCCCTCTGAATTTTGGAGACACAGTGGTGGAGATTTCAGTCTGTTCACCAGATGGCAGTGTTTCACAGGTATAATAAGACATGGATAGTGGACAAACTTTATATATGCATCCTAGCTTTGAAATGCTTTGAAACTCATCATTATCCACCTGATAACATATAGTTTTCTTAATTTTTAAACTTCATATGCTTTTAGCATAGCTTTTGCTTCTGTGTAATGAAACCTATCAGGAATTTGAGTCTTTTTAAAGGTCTCTGTTGGAGCCCTAATAACTCCTGCACATGAGTGGATCCATCTTCTTTGTACCCATATATTTATCTGTGGTAACCTTTTGTCAGTAAGGGAGTAGTTAGCTTTATATACCTAATGACCTTCTCACCTTTTCAGGTGTACAAGGTGTTGGTGACTCGAGAGCTGCTTCCTGTGCCTGTGACTTTCACTGATGTGAAGCAGCAGCTGGAGTATGAATGCCCAGTATCACTAAGTGCTTTCTACAGGCCTTTGTCTATCAATCACAGGTAAGTCTTGAAACAACTAAGACATATTGCAAAACATATTCGCCAATAGTCACATCCATTACTTATCCTTTGGTTCATGCTGAATATTAATTCGCAAATGAATGATGTGTTTCCTTTATATAAAAAAAATACTATAATATATAGCAAATCACCTTTCACACATTTGTTATTTTGCTAAATTGTAGTGAACCAAAGAGCATCTTCTCAAGGCCTTATATTGAGATGCTTGCCCGAAGGTCAAAAGTTGACCCACTTAGCGACTGTCCTCTCGGAGACGGCTGGAAGGTTGTTGAACTGGACCTTGACAAGAAGATGTCAGCTGCCGTGGTCAAGTGTTTCTTTTTTCACAGAGGTGAAGCATTTCAAACATATTAGTTTAAAGCTACTGGGAAGAGTGGGTGTTCTTATTCTGGATGTTCAGATAGGAGGAGGTTCTGTTGTTCTTAAAGAGAGCTAGTAGATTCCTAAACTTCTAGTACAACGAATGTCACATCAATGAATAACAAATGAAGCCACTGTTCTAATATGGATTCTTTGAGTTACTTCATTATTTCCACACCTATAGAAAATGTTTACAGCTACATTGTTGACAGGTATCTTACCTCTTAGCAGAAGTGATTACACAAGCTATACTATCATGTAACATGATGTAGTACTGTAGACAACGATCATGTTACTCTAATGACAGGGGGTATTATTACTTAACTAAAACCTTGTGCCACTAACTGTCATGGGACAAAGGCTGGATTTTATATCAGGCCTTTATGTTCAGAAGATCTGGCTTGCTTACTCAGATGTGTATTTCTAAATAATCAAGGCTTCTCTTAAATTGTTTAATTTAGGTAAAAGTACAAATAAAGTAAAATAGTATTTATATAGCATCTTCCAAGATAAATATCACAAAGTAAATCACAACAAAAATGCTTAAACATTAAAACAAAAAGTTACCCAAAGCAAGTTTCAAAAAGATGAGTTTTTAGCTTATTTATTATCTTGGGTACAAATCTGTCAGGGGCACATTAAGAACTTGTTTTCTCTTCATTAAGTTAGAGATAATTGTCAGGCATCCAACCTTTCATAGTCTAAGCACCTCTGCAAAATCTCTTGCTTAGAAACACCTTGGGGCTTAAAAGACATACATAACTGATCATCTGTCATTCTCATAGCAGTGAAGGAAATTGTCCTTAAATTGCAAATGGCAGTTTTATTTATATACAACATTTTAACCTTAATATGCTTTATAAACGCCCCTTAACAGAACTTTGAAGCAAACTGTGGTGAAGAGAAATAGAAGAAAACGTGTTTAGAAGCAGCCACAGAAAAAGATCGATTAGAAAGATACGACCATAACAAAAAGACGCCCAGTATCTCAGCCTATCAAGCCTTTTGCACCCAAAAGGAAAGATGGACTGAAAGACATTTTTGAAATTAGATGCAGGTAAAATATCGAGAGCGCAGGAGCATGCTTTCATCGAGTCAACTAATTGCTAGTTTGGACACATTGCCTTGGGGGAGGTTGCATAGGGAGCAATTCTACAGATTTGTTAAATAACCTGACAGCTAAATCCATCCCGGTCCACCTCTAATGAGCTTTTTTCCCCTTTTAAACAAAGGGTGTGACACTACGATGAAACTGTCTGAGCTTGGGTCACACATTCTGGACTGTTTACATAAACCCACTGGGGACCTAGATGCACAGGTCAGTGTAAAAGATTAAGCAGTAACCTCCATTGCCAGAATCGCTGACTTTGACACTGTTTATCCTTTATTTACAAGACAATGCTCCATTTAACTGTGAGTAAACGCAAGTTTGAATTCCACAGTAAAAGTAATGACCACGTTTATGGTAAATGAGTCAATAAAATAGTAGTTTTTATTAACCATGTATAATTTTTACATTTCAGTAATTGGTAGAATGACAAACCCAGTTCTGTATATTCAGCACAGCCACCTTGTCAGTCCAGTGCGAAGCTTTATCAATGGAACCTGGTAAAGGCACTTTATAAAATCTTTATTTGTGATTTAATCAGGATACTATTTCTTTTAGGATGTAACAGAGACAGATTGGTATAAGAAGCACTTTGAATCAGCCAAATGTCTGGAGACAGAGACCAAACACACCTGTGAGGTAATAAGCTGTACTGGGTATTCCTTTCACTGTCCAGTTAGTTAATATTCTGACTGATGTTGATGATACACAGCAAATCTAAAAACCTAAAATTACTTATTGCCATAGTTCTATTTTGTGGTGAATGTGGGTAATCGAGGACCTTTATAGTTTACCCACTTAATCAAATGAAAATAAAAAAATATTTTAACATTTCCCTGATTACGTTATAATATGATACAAGTATGATATAAAAAAGGCTGTAGACGATTTACCTTTATCATATTCTTCAGTGCTAAGTATAAGTTATAATATAGCTCATATCACTACTCCTACTGTATCTGTTTAAGCTTTCCTGCTTGGTCTATTTTCTACTACAGCTTCGTAACTGGGAGAAAAGACTACAAATGACAGCAGCAGAAGACAGTGTTGACAAGTTGTGTGCTTTGGCCCAGGAGCACCTGAAACTCTACAGGCAACATCTGCCAAAGCCAGGCATGTAGCACTTTCACGCCTACATTTTAACACTTTGTGAATTATTATGCTGCATTGTAAGATGGTGATCCAAAACAAAATGTGGGTCAGACAAGAGTGTCAAGCTATTATAATACAAACTAGAAAGTCAGAAAAAAACAAAAAACGAATGCATTTTTTCACCTGTTACTTTTTATAAAATGCTGACTAGTCTGTCCAAATTACCATCTGCCCTAATGCCGAATGTCTGTAGTTGCCTTTATTTTTAAACAGGCTATTTACTGATTATTTAAAAATACTCTGGAGCAAAGAGACTTTTTCCTTGCCTTACCTTGGCAACACAGCTCAGCTCAAAGCTAATAAAAAATACATGAAAACAGGCTGCTAAGTGGCTACTTCTGAAGCGTTCTCTTTTATTTGACATGCCAGACACTCACACTCAAGTTTGTGCTCATGTTTTCTCAGCTACCTTTGCCTTGCTAATTCTTTTGTGACTGAAAAGTATCAAAATGAGAATGAGTGTCATGAGGGTTGTTAGTAAAAAGTGTTGATTTTTGACCTTTCATTTTTCATGTGGCCTGGTGAAACGTTTTCATTTTTAAGACACTGTTTATTGCACATTAACATTAGCTCAATGCTTCTGTCAGACTCAAAAAATTTCATCAGCTAAAATGACTTTTCTGCTATGTAGCATATATCAGTTATAAAACAGCAAATGCTGAATGGGTCTGCTTGTTGGATTATGTAATGTACCAGGGAATATAACAAATTAAAAGCTTGACATCAGTGCACTTGGACAGAAAAAGGCGCACTTGCCAAGGGAAGATACTCTCTTTCAATATTTCATGCAAAAGGCGCATCCAGTACTCGGTAAAGAGAAGGCAGCTAGATGGGAGAGTCTGTTTAGTTTTCATTATGCATTGTGCTGTGAAGTATTCATGCTTGGATGAAACTGTCCTTTAATAAGCTGTTCAAAATGAGCTCACTTCACAAAGCACACAATACCTTATCCAAGTTTTTTTTTATTTTTCTGATTCTCAATACAGTTTGAATGAAATGTATTAAATTGGAGAGTCAAAATTGCTGTAATAAGATTTACTTCCATATTAATTTTATTACTGCTACTACTAAGTACTACTAAGTGACATGATACGTGCTGAATTCTTTATAATTCCTGGAACAAAACACGATCATCAAGTTTACACTGCTGCTGGTTGCTGACAGTGTTTTGAGCATGCCACCAAATACAATCCAAAGAATTACAAAAATAGTTAAATTCAAGTAAGCTGATTATAAAGGGCTTAATTACTTAATAAAATTCCAAACTAAAGCCAATATTCATGACGCATGCTGTGTACTGATTAAATCAGTTTCTCTGAATACTTCAAGCTATGTTTATCTGTGTAAGATCAATAAAATTGCTAGTGGTAACAACAGCCAACAACATTTTATTCTTCTCACATTAATAAACACATTTAGACAGTGTTCTTAAGCTCAACCAAATACTTAAACTAGACACACTTATGGTAAAATTGTAGATAGGAAGTCTATTGTACGTTTGGTTTGATCTTACATTTGAACTGAAGGGGGTTTTAAATGGGTCTTTAAAACTCTTAAATGTAATGTCATCCTGCGGCGATGAAAAATGTTGTTTGCCAGTACTATATAATCTATATAGATGCAAATTCTCTCATATATATGCAAATCCTCTGGTCTCTCTGTCAGATGTGTACCGCAAAACAGTGTTTTATTTTTTCCCCATTTCCACAGGAGACCTGTTGCACCATGAAGATGGCCAGTCTCCTCTGCATAGCCTTGAGCAGGCTGCTGTCCACTATGCATCAGCTATCAGACTTAACTCCAGAGATGCCAGGCTTCACTTCCAGCTGGGTCTCGTGCTGGAGGAGCACCATTACGCTACAGAGATGTACAGCCTACAGAGGAAGGTGTGGTACTATTATACACAAATAAAAGCTCTCTATGCAGCATATTAGTTGTATTAAAACAATGAAAAAAAATTACTGAAGGTTATTTTAATCAGAATTGCATAGTAAATAACATGCTAATTTTAAATTAAAATATATGGTCAATTACAGCTGAAATGTCAGTTAACAACATTGCTTTGATGTTGCAGTACCCACTTTCATTATTCATAAGCATGTGGAAGTTTAGAGATTTATGAAATGTGACAAAGCTTTCAGAAAATATAAAAATAGTACTTTTTTTGCCAGTTTATTGTAAATCAGTTGTCTTGTTGATTTTTGAGTTGAAAGCTAATGAACCTCGCATGTTTCGACTCACAGGCTGACAAAGAGAGAGATGAATTAAGTGATGCCAAATCAACAGCACACCAGGATGACATCTTGGCTGTGTGTAAACTGCACGGTTTCCTTGGAACACCCACAGTAGAGAACCAGCTGCAGGCTCTGGATAAAGAGTATCATCTGCTCAAAGAGCAGGGACAGTCCAGCAAAGCAGACTATGCTCAGACTCTCTACATCTGGCTTTCTAAGAAAACTGGCAAGGTAATTGTGTCATATGCTGTCAGTACCTCTATTGCTTCTATTGCTTGAGGAAACTGTTTTATCTGATAGTGATGAAAAGGATTAGTGAGGGGCCAGTACAGACAGGCTATCGCCCTCTTCCTAACATCAGTACAACTTCTCTTTGACTTATGAGTGATCTGTTAGAATGTAAAACCACCCTAACCCTTTTGTAAACAATATTCAGTTCAGCATCTCAGAATATTACTGTTAACATTTCCACAGGCTCTTCAAACACACTTAAGTCGTCACAGAGCTGAATTTTATTCAGCTGAAGATCTTGATGTTTTTCATTGCTAGTTATAGAAATCAATATCGTTCCAGATACTTCAGTTCTGCATTCACTACCATGGTAAATATAGATATTGTTCTGTATGGTTGTTTTGAGTCAAAGCATCTATGACTGTTACTTATCATCCATAAACTTGGACTTGGTGGTTGCAGGACATCAGTGCAACTATGCAGGATAAAGAGAGCTATATCCACCGAGCCCTTCTGAAGTACCTGGATGCCTGGTCTCTGTGCCCAGAAAGCTGGGAGTACAGCCTCCATGCAGGAAGGCTGCTGCTGCTGCAAGGGAGGGAAAGGGAAGCCCTGCTGCACTTTCACAATGGGCTGGCCCTACGGCCCCTACACCCTGCACTCAGGTCAGTTTGCAGGATTGTACATATGGTAGTAGAAGAAGGAAAAATATTGTAATACTAATAGTAACTTGTAATAGTAACAAGAAACTAGATTAAAGAAGCTGATTAAATATTGCAGAGTTAGGAAGCTGTGCAGCTCTCACTGTGATGTCACTGTGACATAGATAGAAATAGATTAGATATCAGCCAGAAAATCAATGCTGCAACTCACAGAGGTCCACTGAAAAATGATACTAACAATTATTTAGTCTGCTGGTAACAGCTTAAAAGCAAGAGTCTGTTCCTCAGCTACTGAGTTTCTGGTAATCAAGAACAAAATACAGAGAGGTTAAAATATGTGCTTCCTTTCTGTGGCTGTGTAAGAGCAGCTTTGAAAAAGCCCTCATTCTCCTTCTTAAATTCTCACTCCATGATAAGCCCTCTATCATATAACCTTTCTAAGATTAGACTGTTAAACAGGGTAAACTGGGTCTAGATTCTAAACGTCTAAAAACTAGATCAGAGCTCTTCAGTGTGTGTTGCCTTTCTTTTTTCCAGATTCTTCGCAGGCCTGGGTCTGCTACTGCAGGAACAGAAAGCCTCTGAGGATGCAGAGAAGGAGGCTGCTCTGTTCTTACAACAGGGACTGGAGCACTTTATCAGCCAGCGCTGCAGCAAGAGGTGTGTGTGTGTGTGTTAGTGTGTGTGGTGGAGGTGGAGGTGGATATATTCAGTGAGAGAGGGAGAGTGTGAGGCCATGACAGCAACAATAATATACCAGCTTGTTCTGTTTAAGCCTGTCGAAAGGAGAGGTAACTGATTGAAAGAGACCGCTATCGTCTACAGAAGCACATTGATACACTTTAAGTTGTGTCATCTATAGAGTTATAATAGCTGCTTTGTGTTTGTACTGCCATATATTTTATGATTTTGTTTACAGCTGGGAGGAGCAGGATCTATCGGACCCTCTGTCCAGCCGCAACACACAGTTCCTACGAGGCCTTCTTACGCTGGGGCAACTGCAGCAGAGAAACACATTATGCACAAAGGCCATGAGTGCCGAACAAGTCTATCATATGTATGTAAAACTTTGGGAGTTTTTATTTTTTGCTGGTTTTATTATTCGGGGTTTGCAGTGGATATCGGCTCTAACGAGCTATCTCACTCATCTCAGCAGTGAATGTGCGATCCAAAGAAAAGTCCTGTCATTTAAGAGTACAAGCCAGTTTAGCTGTTTTAACCACTACATAAAAACACTGTCTTCTTGTCTCTGTGCTGGACTGCTTCAGTGTGGCAATGCTGAGTGCCCAGAGTGTGAGTCAGTGTGTACGTCGTGGTGAGGTGAGCAGGCAGCTGGAGTGGGTGCTGCTGGATGCTCACTTTGCCCTGCTGCAGAGGCTGACCCAGCAGAGTGAATGCCAGGCTAAGACTGGCACTGAGAGGCAGTCTCTGGTGGCAAAAAGATGCCAGGCCCTCACAGCTCTAATACGTCACACCTCTATCACTCCCTGTCAGGAACTTCTTGACATGCAGGAAAGGGTATGAGTGTTGAGCTTTCCTTTTTTTTACGAGTGCAGGGTACCTAATCCATAGAGTGACTGTTAATTTTCAAGAGTGCTTCGTGTGACATAATTCAAACTTTTTTTCTCTTCCGGTTTCTTTACTGCTGGTGCATGAAGACGTGCCACCTTGCAGTAGTAACCACACCGCGTGACAGCCATGCCCTTTGTCTCTTGGGTCTGGCACAGCTGGCTCAGTACGACAATAACCCAAATTCAGAAAGGTCAAAGGAAGCCATAAGTGATGCCTTTCTCAGCCTCCAGGCCAGCATTGAGCTGGAACTCAAGACTCAGATTGGAGAGCCACCTGAACAGCTGACCAGTGAGTCTCTGTACATTGACTAAAGTGAGCTTTTCCAGAGAAGATGGTTTTCCCAGCAGCTTGCAGTGGTGCACTTCTTTTCACTTGTGAGGTGAATAAAGCTGGTTTACCTGTAATGTGTAGAAAACTACATAAAAAATAAAGCAGAATTGTAGGCCTGACCCCAGTCAGATGAACCAGCTTCCTCCACCTTACAAGTGGGAGGAAGGTCACCACCGTAGGCTGCTGGCAGCACCATGGGTCCTTTTCATTATGCTAATGTGCCTCCTCACTTCCTTCACTTGCATTTCTTGCTCCCAGCAAGGATGTGAGAGAGATGAGAGGAAGCGATGCCAAGATGCAAGAATCAAAGCTGCCAAATGAAAAATCCTTGCCTCCATAGTGTCGGTCTCAAGTTATGTTAGTTACTTAAGAAGGTTCACAGCTGCATCACTGAATCATATGAATGTCCACAGAACTTCTAATATTAGGATTTCTTGTCTTTTTTCTCATAAGATATGTTCATTGATTAATGTATCTTAATTTTAGTGGCATTATTGTAAGTGTTGATTTTAGTCATTTAGAATTCATTTTAAATATTTTAATTTATGGAAAGGTCAGTGTCATAAACCTGTTTCATAGAACCCCCAAAATGGTAATCATAGCCCCTCATGTCCTTCAGGTACATTCACGGAACTGGAAGATCTCCTTTGATGGTCTTTAGGAAACAATTTCCATGCAATGGGAGGAGAGGGGATGCAAGAAAGCATATGTTAGCATAATGAATGAAAAGGACCTGATATTCTCTAGCAAACATACTTCATTGACATCTCTGGTGGTCATGTAACTTTTATATTCCATGTCTTGTGCTTGTATTTCATGCCAGAATTATTACTTCCTATCAAACTGATGATTGTGTTTCAATGAATGTTCTGTTATTTCTTCCAATAGGCTGGTGTTTTTAACACATTTTTAATATAGCCTTTTTGGAATTTAACTTTTCCTCACCATTACCTGTTTGCTCAGAACAAAAGTGGTGGCAGGAAAAGGTGGAGGTTAAAACTAAGGAAGCTGCCAAGCAGTCCATCACCCAACCAGCTGGTGTAAAGGAGCCTTGTGACATCAAATTGGCAAAAAGAGGAGTGCAGCAGGGCAGGGGAGGTTCTAGGTGTGTAGCAGTAGCTGTAACCAAAGCACCAGCTCCAGCTCCCATCAGGGGAGGGAAGGCTGTCGGGAATCCAGCCAAAACCCCTGCAGCCAGGTTTGTACTGAGTAAGGTGTTTGTAGATAGCATGAATGATTTCCTATGGATTTATACCCTGTATAGCTTTGCCTTACTTCCTATGTATGAAGCAAAAACAGCCTTTTACCATTTATGACTCTGGGTCTGCTATATGAAAAGACAAAACAACAACAAACAATCAAACTAACAAAAAAAACAGACTTTTCACTTGAATATTAAATAAGTTTTTAGAGAGCCTGTATTATGCTTTCTCTCCTGTAGGGGGAGTTCTGGAGCAGCTGCCAAGCCAGATAGGGTGAAACTTTCTGGTAATAACACTAAACCTCAGCTCCCGCTCAACAAGTCTAAACAGGACAGTTTCTCTGATACTTTGAGGACAGCTGAGGGTAAGGCATTACAGAGGCAAGTCTGGGAAACTGAAAATCCTTTCTTGGTGAGGTGTGAACAAGTTTTGCAAGCTACAATAAAAACAAAAACTACACAGAGAAAATCTAAATCTTGATGATAAAAGAGGGCTTATACATTTTTCTGTTTAAGAAGTTCAAATGTAATGCTGTTTAACTGAAGGTATAACATGCAAAACAGTGGTATTGATTACTTGAAATGCAGATGATTTGACATTACTTGTTTAGCACCACTGTCATAAATATACAAATTTTCTTTACTTAAGGATTTTGGTTTCCAAGAACATTAAATGGGTACAATATGGGATTCAAACAATCTCTGTTCAGTTGCTGTGACAGACAAAATCCATGAGTCCAGTCTGATGAACCGCAGATCTCATGCAGCAAGACTGGGTCTGGCTCGAGCTTACTCACGATCTCCAAACACCCAGGACCAATCAAAACAGCTATACCAAGAGGTCATCGCAATGTCACCAGAGGTCAGTTATCTTTTATATTTGCATTTTAAAGCGTTTCCCAAAGTTTCACAATAGCTTCCAGTCACATTAAGTAAGGATTTTATTAACATGTTCTTTCTCCCACCAACTCTGTGGAATAGCCACATGTTCTGCTGTTGGACTAGAAAATTAAACTATATATATTCAGATTTTAAAGTCTTGTGCTCAAGACTTGAAAGCGGTTACCCTTTGTTCATAAATCTTTGCCTGAAAAAAAGATCTCAATTACGTCTGAAGAAAATGTGCAGTATAATTCAAGACATTCAAAATATGAGGGAGAGATTCATATACAACTAATAAATGTCATTATTTGATCATTTGATTCAAATTTAGCTGAGATTTCTGAGTAAATACTTTCATACATCTCATCTACAGTGAATATAGTCATTCAAGAACATTTAGGAAAAAGATTTCCCATTATATGTCTTTGATATTTAGAAAACCTCTAAAAGTTGTAGTTTAAATATTTTTAAAGAGTCTCATGCTCTTGGTGTTTATCTGGTTTAATGCAGTGCAGATCAAATATGATTAATGAACTGCCTGTTTAGATCCATGATGCCTACATCGAGCTTGTGCAGCTGCTGGAGCCATCCGACCCTCAGGCTGCTTTGGATGTATACTGCAAATTCCCTTTGAAGCCTGTGGCTGAGCAAAACTTCGAGGATGCCTTCATCACAGGAGAGATTGTGCGCATGCTGATGTCTGAGGAGCAGTACGACCACCCACAGCTTGGCCCCAGCCTCATAGCTTATGGCAAAGTCATGGGCCTAAGTGATTACTTTTTATTATTATTATTATAAATACTATAAACACGTGGTATTAGCTTTGGAAAAAGTCAGACTTGAACAGTAAAAAGTTATTTACAGAAACCTTGAGAGTTTAAACAAAATGTCTAGTTAAATAACTTTTTAATGATTTTGAATGGACATGGGGAGCATCTACCTATAAAGTGTGAGTGTTGCTTATTAAGATTGCCAGCTAGAGATACATTTTTAGGTGTAAAAAAATACTGGTTTACCATGATTTTCTTTATAGGCAGCTGGACTATATTTACCAAATGTGTTGTACTGAAATCATGCCGCCAGACCCATGTGACATGCCATGTCGTGTTATTTATAGAGATGTATCACATTCAGCTGGTGTGATTGACAGATAGATGGCATATTGCATACTAAATAGTAATACATATATGGTGACTGCTGTCAAATAAACTGTCTGGCCACAGGGCGAGTCAGGATATAATGTAGTTATATAAAGATATTTAATATTTTGTCAGACACACCCAGACAATATGACATGGTACAATATTTTTGTCAGTGTGAGTGAACTAATTTTGATATGCAAATCTGTGGCTGTGTTTGCAGGTTGCATAGAGAATTACATTCACATTTTGGATGGAAAGTCTAAGACCAAGCTGCTAAAGACCGTCTATTCGGGGATCCACAACAGACAAGAGGATGATGAGGATCTGCAGAACTTCTTCAAGTTCAAGTGCTGGATATGATGTTTTTGGTTGTTTGCCATGTTGATGTAATAAATTCGGAATCTTGAGTTTAATTCTAGTCGCTTCTCCCTGGCTGCTGCATATGCCTTAAAAGAAATGGGACACACTAACACTTATAGTAGCATGCAAATCAAAGGGGTGATGTGCAACTGTGATTTGGGCCTTTGTGTATTCATAAACAAAACTACTTATCTTGACTACAATTACTACTGCAGTATGAAATAAGCCATTTGTATTTGGTTAAAGCAACTGAGAAATCTTTTTTCTTTTCAATTCAAATACAGATTTAATTAGGAAAAACACCTCTTAAAAATGTCATGTCAAAAGCCACAACTTAAACAACAGACAAAAGTGAACTACAATAATGTTCACTGACAGTGCAACAATGGAAAACGTTTCAGTTTCCTCCTACAAAAACAGAAATTGATGAGAGAAAATAAATCTTGATCCCACAGTAATTCCAAGCCAGAGGCTACAGTTATTTTTCCATCCACATAAAGACTTTACAGGAAATGTATAATTGCGTTACAGGGATATTTCTCTGCAGTAAAGGATAATATCATCTGCAGGGCTCAGCCAGACAATACACATTTTTTTAGGGATATCATTTAACAGAGGGGGAAAAAATGGCCAAACTCAAGTTTCCCAGTTAATCTAAAATACTTTTTTAAAGGAGTATTGATTGAAATGGACACGAGCAGTCTCCAGGACTTGCAGTAGAAAATTGGTTTCTTCTACTAAAAGACTGCTCGTCATTAAGCCTGTGACTTACACACGGGTGGTGCAGCACTGCAGATACTTGTTTGTTTTTTGTTTTTCCCATATTAGGCTGCACAGATCACAAAAAATCTTTTATGCAGTGCAGTTGTTAAACTATGTTGAGTTTAGTGACAATAAGTACACGGACAGACTGGTCAAAACCCGAACACACACACAGGCCCTGCTTGTCTGGGCTCCAGTCCAGGCTGGCAATTGGCTGAGTAGACAGAGTGACATTCTGTAAGAGGTTGACAGATCCAGCTACACCTACGTCAACACCATCAGAGTCTTTCTTGCATCTCTGAGCAGGATACTCACTGGAAATGACATCAAAACACAAAAAATTATGGTTAGTTTACAGTTCACAGGAAAGAACATGGTGTCTGTTGACTGACTTGACTGGTTACTTACTATTTCCATAGATGTAGGTTGCCGGCTCCTCCTGTGGTCATAAAGATGTCTCTGTTCTGAGGCAAATGTCTCACCTGCCAAATGGTCGACTTATGAGCCTAAAACAGAGAAGAGTCATGTTTAATACATAAAGTGTACCGAAAGACTGTAAAGAAAACCTTTCAACCACTTTAGACTCATAACAGTCACAAAGTGTGACTTGTGCTGTTTTTAGAGATTCCTGTTTTGACTCTTCTTTGGTATAGACTTAAATTCAAAACACCAGTTAAATTGATATCATCAGTGGAATAGTCCGATCTCTGACATTGCATCTTTCCCTTGCTTCCATTGTCAAAAATGCTTCATTTTCCTTGCT